TCACTTCGACCACATCCGCAACCACCAAAGCACTGCTATACGCAGCACATTCTGATGAGCTGGCATTTGGTGCGGGCAAATAGGAGGGGGGCGTAATGCTAGACAAATCCGTTCAGCTATGTAAAGCCGAAGACTTTGGAGGATTGAGGATTTTGCATCAGGATTAGGGCTTTGTGGCTTCCATGATGAGATCATCGTTCAAGCTGATTCTTAACCAGCTTCCGGCTTAGGCTGCACTACCACTTACTGGAAAACGGAAACCACACGGTTACGTAGTCGTTCCAGTTTCTTTCAAAGGCTCGCCCGTGAGAAGCCAAGTCAGAGCTACCCAAGCCTTCACCTTGCTGGTGGTTAGTAGGGAATATTTCAGGGTTTAGGGTTATAAATTATAGGGATTACATACCTGTATATGGGGATCATATAGGGATTAGGGCTTCTTAGACCTAATCCTGATGCTGCAGCTGAGGTCCATTCATACTCGGCCCCTGTGCAACCATATGCGGCTGGATCCTAAGTGCCGCATGGAGCTTCTGAAGCTTCACAACTTGTATGACTTTGGGATACCCTGAGCTTGGATATTGTGCCATCAAAGAGAGAGAGAGAGAGAGATCCATTAACTGACCAACATAGTCAGATGCTTGACTGAAAGACTGAGGTATTAGCAAAATTAACTTCAAGTCAACTTACAACTGCTTGTGGTTGGGATGTAGCACTTAGATTGTGTACCAATGCATCCCTACTTTCGAGAAAGCAGTAAGTCTGCAAGTGCAGGGACAAGCCTCCAGAAGCTTACTCTAGCTATTTGCTGTCCAGCGCGCACTCCCACATCAGAAGGACTGTCTATTTGAACGAGGCTTGCGCTAGGCGAGCCCCAGATAATTTCTCTTTGTTCACGAGGGTGACTTTCGCCGGGCTCCATTCACTGCAGCATATGCCGCCGGCAAGGTTTCAGGGCGGCATGTTCTTCAAGAAGTCAGCCTAGAGCCACCTTTGGATGTACAAATGTACAGTCCCCCTTAAGTAGATAGAATATATGGGGTGTATGGGGATCTTATTAGAATATTACCCAAAGCCATATTCTATCTATTTAAGGCGTCTTGGCCAAGCTTATGGGCGCTATCCCACGACACTAAGTGTTTAGGGTTGAGGGCTTGGGGTTCACAACCACCCTTGGAAACTGCGAACCCTCTGCCTGCCCACATCAGGCCTATCAGGCTGCTACTGCTGCTGGTTCCAAGTGTACTTGTGCCTTGCTCAGACTTGGTTATATGGAGGTTATAGGGTATATGTTGGGGTTATATAGGGATAATGGAAAAGAGCATGGAAACCATTCTAATCGGTTATATAGGTTCCGTGTGTACTCGTGCCTTGCTCAGATCTGCTGGTTGTTAGTTGAGGGAATGAATGCCAAGGAAGATGGAAACGATTATCTAGGGAGTCTAGGGTTCCAAAAGGAAGCTAAGGGCGGGTAGGGGAGCGTGCGATGGAACAAAAGGAAATACAGCGCAATCTCTTGCAAAGGAGTTTGGTAGAAAGCTTCTGTAGGGTTTAGGATGTGTTTGCTGGTTATTCATAGAGACTGAAAGAAGAATGGAAGCTAACTGTTTGGGGCTTAGTCAAGGCAGTGGAAAGCTAGATGGTCAGGCAAAACCACAGAGAAATGGAAACAAAGTGGGTTATAGGGACATACGGTTCAGGGTTGATGGCTTGACCTGCCGGTAGCTACTGGTGTCTGTTAGACATTGGGACATGGAGGCGATCGTGGTACTAGGGGTTATATGGGCAATGACCGGGATTCATTCCTCCATTGACTAGGAATAACCTTAGCGTTTAGATTTAGGGAACAACCAGTAAGCAGAGGGTCCTCTCTGGAATCCGGACGTCTCCTTTCCGATTGCGCCAACAATGGGTTGGGGTTCAGGGTTTTCAGTGGTGGGCTCCAGGAACGGCATCTCTTTTGCGGAGGAAGGGTTTTGAGAGAAGAGCCTGTGCAAGTTTGGGGCAAGGGTCTCAGTCCTTTAATGCAAAGATGCCACCTACAATCCTGCGGGATGACAGGCCATAGATTTTTGCAGCCTGCGCTACAGGCGACATATTTTGAAGTGGTTCAACCTCGTCTGCATTGCTGGACATCTTTTTTTTGACTTGAAATGCGGGCAGCTCTTTTTTATAGATCGCCTATCAGGACCCTCCAGGCCTTCCTGACATTTGAGACGTGATGATTCCTCAGAAGCTTTAGTGTCAAGAAAAATCTGCATACGCCAGGCCAGTGCGATTCATAGCGAGGTCTCCCACGATGGCCAAGTGAGCCAAAGCAAGGCCACTTCTGTATTTGTTGAGAATGATTGGGAAGCGGGGTGAGGTGTGTCTCAACTATGTGGCTTCAAGATTTTCAGGATTTTTCTGAACACCCGTATCGAAATCCATGACCTCTGTCACATAGGTGTCAAGCTCGTATGCACTCCTAGGCACTCCTATGTCTTTCTTTTTGGGTGCATCCTCTTGTTGCGACAAGCAACCGAAACTGCCCAGACAAGATTTGCTGCTGGGCATCTAGCCGTTTAGGCCGAAAGTTGTGGCCAGGGCTGCAGGTAAGAGTCTACCTGGAGACTTTTACACAGTAGTACCTTTTGGGTCGGTTTTTCTTGTTGAGCGGGTCTTACCGGTTAGTTGGTAGGACCCCTGAAAAGATACTACATTAGAAGTGCTTCCTGATGTTTTAAGAGCTGGACTCTCAAGAATGTGGGCTGTTGGGCTTTCGTGAAAGGGCTTGTGGGAACTGTGGGCACCTCAAGAAACACGATGTCTGAAAGATACCCTTGGAAATGAAAACTATGCGTCTTTCAGTTAGCCATAGCTTGGAACCCTACGAGCTACTCCCCGACATCTATTCCGGGACCCGTGTAGCACCGCATGTTAGTCGAGTCAGTCGTGTGTGCTTCAAGTCGGCCTCCGACGACGTGGACACTGCCCTATCACGAGCCGCGAATAGAGCAGCCACCGAGTCGGGAATGCAGTGTCGTCAGCGTAGACCATGAGTCCAGAGCAAGCGAAGAAGCAATGGCTGGTAATGCTCAGCCTGGCATTATCTTCTTTTGCGGGTTGCTTCATGCTAGAACGTTACAGCTTTAGCGCGGGATTCCTTATTGGGAGGCCGCCTCAAAGACGGCATACTTATTTGGGAGGCCTCTGAGGCATTTTGGAGGAAGTCGCTTTCTAGGAGTGGATTTGGGGGGGACCACTTACGGACGCATGTCAGCTGACAAATCCTGAATTCCTGACGCGTGCTTGTGTCCGTTGTCGACTCTAGCCCTGCCCATTCTCGACTTCTCCTTGCCTTGCTCTCAACTACTGCGGCTGATTCATTTCATCTCTCTTCCATGTAGAGCCCAGGCAGGGAAGACAATCCAGATATGTAATCTCAGTTGAATTCCCTTAAACCCTAGCCACAACCTCCTAAATCCAATGCATCAATCAAAGCCAGGAGGGTCCTCAGAGCCCGGGCTCCAGCAGCCTCCTAGCCTCGGAACAGAAGGCGGAGATTGGAAGTAGGGATCATCATGATTTTAAGTTGGGATTTAGGGTTTAGGGTTTAGGGATTGTAAAGGTGTAGGATTTGAGGGTTTAGAGTTTAGGGCGTGATAAAGTTTTGAGGGATCTTCGCGAATTTGCCTGGAAGTGGTCATACAAAGACTACTGTCTTTGTAAAAGAGGCCTTCTGGGGGGATCCATTCTAGCCGTAAGTGGGCCTTCGTGAGAAAGTTGAAGTGCATGGTTCAGGCCTCAGCACCAGAGTGCGCAGGTTTATGGAAGTGTGGTGCCCTGCGTCCTGGTCAATTTTGCATCCCACCGCATACAAACAGGTAATCAATTTCAGAGGAACGGAGAGGACACCAGTTGGCCGTAACCTTATTGCAAACGGCAGGGCCTCATGTTCCGGAACGCTCATATCCTCAAGTCATCCTTCTACATAGGCGATGTTTGCTCAAACTCTTCCTTGCCATTGCTAAGCCCTTCCAAAGCACGTGGGCCCCCGGGCAGACCTGAAGCGTGCATGACTGTAGCAACAAAGCCTTAGATATCCTGATATGTCCCTTTATACCCCTATATATCGCTTACTACGATTATAGTACTTACTACAAACATTTCCATAGTTGTTACCTTACTACCATTATTGTAATTCTTATCATCATGTCCATTATTGTTCTAATTATATATATATGATGATGATAATTGTTGCTACTATTTCTCGTTCTTACTATTATTCTTAGCCGATGGTTCTGGAGATGCCTTTCACAGAAAGTGCTTGTCCTTCTGGGCTCCCAAAGAACCTAAGCCCATCATTTGGGAGTTTCTCAAAATAATCCCTTCCACTCCCAAATGAATAGCCACCCCCTGCAATCCCCTGTTCATCCCCTTTATCCCTATAGTGCCCCTTGGGTACCCTCATTTTGAAAAGCTCCTCTTTTTTGAGATCCTAAACCCTAAATCCCTAAACCCTTGAGGAGGGCCAATATCCGTCCTTCGGCAGCAGCAGCGGCTTTGGCAGCAGTGGATTTGGCGGCAGCGGCGGCGGCTTCCTGGCTCAGATGGGTCGTGTTTTCGTAGGAGATCACCTGGGGTTCCATAAAAGATAAACCCTAATTAGTATACTATGTTTTATTGTAGGGACTTCCACAAAGGGGCCCTCAAATTGTTGGAAACCCCCATATAGTCCGCAGTACAGGGCAATCCGCAGTACAGAGCAGCACTATAGCCTCCTTTTGGGCGTTGTAGTTGATGAGCCTTCCTTTGTTCAACCACTGGGTTTCTAGGGTCTTAGGCCGCACCAGTTGGAGAAACCTTGTCTACTGAAGAGATGTGTGGCATTCTGGCAGGCTAAACTATGTCTGGAGACATGGAGGTTGCGAGTTTGTTTCCCGTGTTGGCTTTAGGTTTTGAGACGTTAGGCGTGCCACTCTGAATGTTCGGCTTGGGATTCGGCATGCCCACTGTCGATTGATTTGACCGTTGGTATGGCAACTGTTTGTTTCTTAAAGTTAGCTCTTCTGTACTTGACTAGCCTGTAAATCCTCATTCAGCGGCGGTGGATTAGCTTGAACAAGCCCAGGTTTCAGCAGTGTCCCTTGTGCCTGTTCCTGAAATATGCCCTGTTGGGGCGATATCTTGATGGCATCCCTCCCAACTGAAAAACCAAGCACTATCAACAGGTATTAGATTACAGTTTCAGTATTTTTTGATCCCGATCAGTGTGCGGGGCCTTAATTGTGCGAAGCTTCGCCGAAACTGTTCAGGACCCCCTGATTCGTTTGGGGCCCCTTTATTGTGCGAAATTGCACGGCCTAAAAGAATAAAAGTGAGAATAAGTCAAGAGAAAATCAATTCAATTTGTATTCAAAAGCATGGCAGGCAGTAAGTAATTAGTTTAGGGTCATAATCCAAGCTGCTCTTTGAAACTTAGACTTGAACCCCTTGTCCGGCGCTTCCAGAACCTCAAATCTCCGGATTTTGAGGACCTCAAAACTCCGGATTTTCAGGCTCGAAGCCAGGTCCAAAACTGTCGATTTCTTATTAGACCGCTTACTCGAGGAGGTCTAGCAGCCTAGCAATCATTTTTGCAACGGGGTAGGTAGTCCAGCAGCTGCCCAGAGCCTGAATAAGACGAATGTTGTGGGGCCCTCACAGCCAAGCGGGAGGCAAAAACATAGTACCTGTGAAACCCTAGCTTCCATGTCATGTTCCTTTTTCTTTTCCATTTGATTCTCCATCGTATTTGGGACCCCCTAGGTTTTGGAGGAATGAACAGCATGGGCGGAGGGATGGGCCCGGAACCTCAGAGCTTAGGGATTCTGGGGCTTGGGGCTTGGGAGGTTGGAGTTTCCATTGTTTTGTTGGGGTTTAGGGTTGGGTGTTTACAGGGAGGTTGGGAGTTTCAGGTCAGGTCTTGGGCTTTGGGATTTGGGGTTTAGGTTTGAAGGTTGGGAATTTGGGGCTTGAGGGTTTAAGGTTTGGCACTCATGAGGGTTTCAGGGCGTGGGGCCAGGATTCAAGTGGGAGAAAATGGTTTTATCAGGTTTTCGGGGCTTCTACCATTCATAGAATCTTAGGGTTTAGGGTTGCGTTTCTTCCACCCAGCGCACTCCGACACCCTACACCTTTTGGTGTGAGCGCGTCCAAACCCCTGAGCCCCAAAACAGAGGTGAATATCTTGTAGTCTTGCTGTCCTTGAGCCCCAAATACCAAACGATCCCAGCCCCTAAAACCCGGACATCTGAAGCCTTACAAAACCATAGGCTCTGTACGCAATTTGTGTTCGCAACCTGTAGACACCATTGACAGGAGGTATGGGCGGAGGCATGGGTGGTGGCTCCTTTGGTGGGGGCTGCTCGCCTGCAGAATGGGGTTGGCAGCGCATCATAGAAAACCACAGCCGAAGATATCTAAGGTTTCCAAAGAGTAGGAGCCGATTTTAAGGATTAAAGTACATTGGGAGCTATATTGCAGCCTCCCGTTTCTGGTAATGTCCATATCATGTTACGTGAGTCTCCAACAGCTACCTCTGAAGGGCACGAGCCTTTGTAAGTCCCGTTTAGGAGATGCCTTTTAGTTCGGAGGAATTTCCATCGTGCTTTCGGCTGAAGGCTACAACTCCTTCGGATCACAGCAGGGCTATGGCCAGCCCATGGTGAGATCTGGCGCGCCCATGATACTGGGCCTGCAGGGTTTAGGGTTTTAGGGTTTAGGTCAAAGGTTTCGGGCTTTTCCAAACATGGTACCCCAGAAATATGCACAAGGAGGCAGTTGGAATGCAGTCCAGGGCGTGGGATTTCTTGGTGCTTGGGGCGGTTTCTCCGTGTCAATGGACTGAAGCCACGAGCTTGCTTGGAAAGGGTTCGGGTTTTGTGCAAAAAGGTTTTTGGCAATGATTGTGAATTGACATTTGGCTCTTGTGTTGTCTTCTGATTTTTAAAACAGTTCGTAACCCTTGACCCCTACATGAGGAACTGTGAGCACGCATCATGTTCTATGATCCTCCAGGGCAGCCACGTGTCTCTGTCTTGAAAACCTATTGCCAAATGTGCTGCAGGAAGGGAAATGCATACCCAGAAAGTCGCAACATCCTCCTAGCGTGGAGTTTGGACATCGGGCAAGTCCCACAGGTGAGGTATCCCGTTGCCCAATCAAGCACGGATTCAACCACATACACGCATCATCACAAATCGAAGGATAGCCTCTTAGCTCAAGCCCACAACTCGGAACTAAGACCTAATCGCCCACCCCTAAACTCTAAATCCCTAACCCTTAAACACTAACCCCTAAACTCCTCAACTTGAAAAAATCCCACAATGGACAATGGATTGCGGATTGCCCCCGGGCAAAGGATGGGACACTCCGGGCAACCAGGCTATGCTCCGACAGAGACGGAGATGCATATGTACCTCAGAAGGTATAGGGTTTAGGGATTTAGGGTTGAGGGTGTAGGGATGAGGGATTAAGGTAGGAGGTTTAGCGCGTAGGGATTCGAAGAATTAGGGCCTGTACTTCAATAATGGAGAATAGAATGGAAAATACGCTGGAGAAAGAAATGGAAAACGAGCTTTTACAGTGGTTTATTTTTTGGGGTTCAGGGTTTCCAAAGATGAGGTGTCTCTCTCTTAGGGGGTCCCGACCTGAGAAAGAATATGGTATGTTGGGGTGTGTGCCAGGGCCCGCTATGCATGTTCTGGGTTTACGGCTGGAATAAGAGGTCTAGGAGTCTTGGGTTTAGGCATGAGGGTTTGAAGCTTCGAGGATGAGGATATGGTAATTTCCCCAAACAGGAGAGACCCTAATATACTGGAAACCTTATTTTAGGGACCACCCAAAAAGGTAACCCTAATTTTGGAAAAAAGGAACAGATGTTTAAGGGTTCTGTGTTTGGGTGTGGAGAGTAGCTCAGCTTGCCCATGCTTCTGTGGGTAACCTTTAAAAGGGTTCTATGGGGGTTATAAAGGGGTATACAGAGTTTAGGGTTTCCTAGCAAATGAAACACAAGGGGGATGTACTTTTTGGCTTTCCCAATTTTGGTTTTCTCTACTTGGAGATTCACATGTACTTAGTAAGTATACTTATCACCCCCATAAGCCATATACCAGCCCACATGATCCCTATGGAAAACCCAAACTACTTGCGAAACCCACCTGCAAAACATGCATTTATTTCCCAAAGTTGACTAAACACTTCCGGATGGGATTGAGGCCACTCAGTGCCAACGTGGAGCTGCAGTCCGACGATGGCGTGCTTTTCTCTTCTAAAAAGAAGAAGCCTGAGGCTCCGGGGCATTTTTCAAAAATGGGGAGAGGGTGTCGTCGAGTCCGTGTCCTTGTACTATAAGTGGCTCTCCATGTTCTGGGTATACCCCTCGAGCCCTTTTTTTTAAAAAAAAGATTACGAGGACTGTGTTTGGGCTGCAGGATGCGAGAACAGACGATGTGTGCGGCAAGACGGGGTCTGGGAATATGTGTTATATCCAAACGCTAGGAAAACTTTCTGCTGGGGTCTACTTGATCCTTTCTCCGTTGGCATACTTCCAAGCAAGTAGGAAAGGAAGCTCATTTTGGGTCTGAGGCCATTTTAATGTCCCTTCATAATCCCTTGTTTAATCCAATGTTCGTCTCCAATCCATTTTCCTTTTGCTTGCCCATGTGATTTCCCTATCTAAGATCTTCAGCTTTGAGATGTGCCTAGCAGGTCCTGAAATGTAGGATCACAATATTGGTAATTAGTTATAGGCTTATGCATCAGTGATTCAGGAGTTTCCCACAAACAGCAGCCTTCACTTCGGATGGGAGCTGCTCTTAGCTAGGTGAAGCCCCAGGAAATTGCTAGGTATCATCTTCCCATAGTCTCGCAGAGCTACTTGCATTATCTAGCCACGTGTGTTTGATAATGTGCCTACGTGGAGTCGGAATCTAAGAGAAGCTAAACCCTGAACCCTCTGGCAGCGTGTGTTGGGCAGCTGGTGCACCTGCAGGATTACAATTACGATGACAATTCTGTCCTTGGCATGGCAAATTACATCTACAAGGGCAGCGCCGCCCCCGCCGCCTTTAGCTGCCAGGCTGATGAATATTTCCGGAGATTTTGGGGCACCTTTTCTAGAGGGTTACCCATGATAAGGACTGTAGGAGATCGGGGTATATAAAAGGGGTGCCTATCATAAGGCTTATAGAATTTCGGGGTACACATATATATATATAAGTAGAATTTATGGGGTACCTATCATAAGGCTTATAGAATTTATATGTATATAAGGGGTACCCATTGGGGTCTGTAAGGGGCCCTCTTTACAGAAACTCCCAATCGGGAACTGCTAAGGTAGTGAAAGTCATGGAGACTGAAGGGTGGTCTCAACTTATTCTCTCCCGGAGATATACACGCCAAAGAGACTATACAATGCTATGTGAGGCTGCATATACATGAATATATATATATATTTATGTAGAGGGGTATGTAGAGGAATGGCGAGCCTGATACAGTTTACCGCACAGGGGAACATTTGATATTGTGAGCGTTTTTGTTGTTTGGGGTGATGAGTCCTTCTGACAGACTTCTGCATGTCTTTGAGTGCAGGTATATCTCTTGAATAGGGCTATGGCCATGTTTGTCCGATTCCGCCGAAGGAAGGTTGGAAGAAAGCTAAGTTGTTTCAATCCATTGCAGCTATCACCCATTCACACTCTTCTGCTGGCACATCCCTGGCCTAAGCATGCGGCATAAGGCAGTGCGCTGTCGGTTTTCCCGTGCTCGGAATACGCTTTTCTTGGCAAGAAAGAAATGCTTGGGCACAGCAATCTATGTACCTTTTGTACGAAGGTCATCATGCCCTGAACCGTGCAAATGATGCAAGCTCTCCATCCCAAGCTAAGTTTCAGCTCTCCTGAGTACTATAGTGTATTATGACATACTATAATGTGCTAGAATATACTATAGTTTACTATGATATGTACTATAGGTTACTATAGTATACTATAGCCCGGAGCCCGCTGATTGATTACTTACGCCTGAGGCTGGCTTCTTGGAGCATCCTGCCTCGAATATTCTGATGTGTTGCCGATTCAGGATTCAGGGGAGCTTGAGGGCTTACTTAGAGGCTTGCGGGTTCTTGGGCAGGCAGTTTGCGAGATCTGGCCGGGCAAGGGTTTCAAGGGTGCAGGCTCCACTAGGTTTATCGTGTTGGGGTCTAGCAAGGGATGAACACCCTTTGTTTAGGGAACTAATGGGAATCATGTAGGGCTTCATGAGGCCACAGGCTAGTAGGGAAGTCTGGGCGGTTCTCTTGGCGGGGGGGTGGCGTTGTAACCCCGAAGCTGGGATCCAGGGATCTGGTCTGCAATGACTGTAAGAGCCCCAGGCAGGCAAACTACGGGATTGTGTGAAGATACCAGATGCTATACCTCAGTGCACGGCTAGGATTGAGAAGCCATTTCCCATGTGTGCCCAGAGCAGGGGTACATTCCATAGCAACGTGAAAAAAACACTTCATGGAATACTCCCCTAATAGAATTCCAACTGCCCTAACCTATGAACTTCTACATGAGTTATAGTATTAAATCCATAAAGGGGGTTATATAGGGGAGTACTATAGGGGAGTATTACAGGGGGCTTAGGGGCATACTCGGATTTTAGACTATGGCTCACATGAACCCATGATGCGCAACCCAAGCTTTTCCTCCCGTATTTGGTCTCCAAAGCATGGGTCCCAGCGAGGCTCCCTATACTGAGGATTACAGTCCCCCTTAAGTAGATAGAATAGGTGGTATACGGGGATCTTATTAGAACATATCCAGAGCCATATTCTATCTACTGAAGTGGTACTAAGCTATTGGCAAACTTCCAATTCTGAAGCAGGACAAAGCCCGAGCCCTCTAGGTGGGTTTTCCAAAACTCAGGGGTCCCTTCAGTGAGCATGATATTTTGCGGTATATGGTACTTAGTTACATATGCAAGTGTTTCCCTATTTAAGGAGGGTCTTTCAACTCTACAGTCTCCCTTAAGTAGATAGGGCATTTTTTTGGTATGTTATGTTAAGATCTCATATACCACATATTCTATCTACTTAAGCGGGACCATAACCCCAACATATACCCTATCATAATATGGTAGTTTCCATTTTTTCCATTATCCCTATTTAGCCCGAATAGTATACCCCATATTCTATCTACTTCAGGGGGATTAAACCCTAAACCCTAAACCCTGAACCCTAAACCCTGAACCCTGAACCCTAAACCCTGAACCCTAAACCCTAAACCCTAAACCCTGAACCCTAAACCCTAAACCCTAAACCCTTGCCTATACAACCCAAATAATGTTCCTCATCATTCCAAGGCTCTGGTCTTAGCCAGGGGTCTCGCTGCTTGATCTACAGCAGGCCATTGGCTCTCAGGGCTATGGTCCCATATATAACCCTAATTTAGGGTTTAGGATTTAGGGTTTAGGATTTAGGGTTTAGGGTTAGGGTTCAGGTAGTTTCCATTCTCTTTTCCACTATCCCTATATAACCCCAATATTACCCCTATATTACCCCTATATATCCCCAAAAAAGGGAACGGTAGTGATTCGGCTAGCCCTCAATGCCAATGCCACTGGCACCCTTTCAGCCGGAAACATTTTGCGATCTTGATCTGGGAGTTTGCCTCACTTCTGGAGAAAGCCTTTGATGCTTAGGCGGGGAGTTGCCTCCGATTCATGGCCTTATGTGAGGTGTTGCTTGCACCTGGGAAAAAACGTCGGCGTCACGACGTGTCGTATTTACCTTGCCGTACGAGGACGCCTGGAAAGTGCAAACACTTTTCTTTTTGACCTCTAGAGCTCCTCCTTTCGACGTGACCTTGTAAGGGCAGCTTCATATTGGACGATCATAGGAACCACACAGCAAGCCCCTCAGTTGTAGGTCTTGGCCATGCCTACAGTATGTTCGGAGTTCTCCTAGTGTCCTTTTGTGCGCCAACTTCAGCTTCACATGCCCAAATTGCGTTAGGAGCCATCATGATGTGCCTTTGCCATGCGAGATTAGTTGCTCGCAAGATGAGCGAAAGAGGTAGCAGCAAGAGATGATACAGACTACATGTAGGACAAAGGATAGAACATCAAATCTGTGGTGGAAACCTTGAAGCCCTGACTGAACATGGGGCCTGCAACAAATCTGAGCCCTTTATTCCGTTCCTTGGATCGGTGACTACATTGTTTGAGGGTTGTTGGGGCCATTACTTATTCCTACTACCGCTAGTATTACTACTACTACTACTACTACTACTGCTACTACTACTGCTACTGCTACTGCTACTGCTACTGCTACTGCTCCTGCTCCTGCTGCTGCTACTGCT